CAGTTATATCAAGATAATTGCATCATCATGGCAAAATTGATCAGAGAAAAGGTAAGTTATAACTTTTTTTTTCTAACTTTACATGATTTTATATTTTCCCTACAGACTAATGCTACAGCTTCTACTAGCACCTATCAAATGTTTGTGAAAACTCTTACTGGAAAAACTATTACTTTAAAAGTAAATTCTGAAATGACTACAGAAGCTGTAAAAAAATTGATACAAGACATTGAAGGTATTCCTTCCAATCAACAACGTTTAATATTTGCTGGAACGCAGCTAGAAGATGGTAGAACTCTTTGGGACTATAATATACAAAAGGAATCTACGATTTATTTGATACTGCGTCTATCCGATACAAAACATCATTTTACTAATGATCGACAAGTTTTTAACAATAATGCTAGTTTCCACAACTTCTTATGAAGTATTTGTGAAAACTTTGACTGGAAAAATGCTCACCTTAAAAGTGAATTCGTCAATGAATATAGCTACTCTGAAAGAATTGATACAAAATATGGAAGATGTTCCTTCTGATCAACAGCGTTTAGTATTTGCTGAAACACAACTGGAAGATGAAAGAACTCTTTCGGACTATAATATACAAAATAAATCTACAATTCATATGGTACTTCATTTACAAGGCAGAATGTATCATTTTACAAGTGGTCGACAAGATTTTAGTAACTTTCCATATGATGGCACCGAAGCAATCAAAAATGTTCTCGCATTCGATTTCAAACATATGAATCATGCTGGTCAATTCTCATCAGCTGAACTACAAAATTTTGTTTCACAAGCGCAAGCTGTTTTGTCGGAATTGTATAGGGCGATCAAAGACTATCCTACAGTTGGAAATAATTCAGATTTAAAGACCATTATATATCCAAGTGTCGATAATAAAGAAAACGATAATGATAGTGAAGATGATGACGATTTTTCAAATAATCAATGACAATTATCTGTCCAACACCAATTACGAGTGTATCGATTATTAGAACATGATATACTCAAAAGATCTACTTATGTTGGGCTCCACCCAACCACCAGCAATTAAAGAAAGACGTGCTTTTGTTTCAAAACTGTAAAAGGATGTGGGTGTGAGTGTGAGTGGGTTATGAGAAGACTTGCACTGACGCCCACACCCACACTCTCACACCCTTACCTTCACTATACCTGACCCCCATATTTGCGTTAATAATACAATGGGTAAAATTGTCATCAGTAGTTGAACCAGAATTGATGTGAATAGAAATTTCCGTGTCATTTAATAGATTTAAAATGTTGATTGAGTTTTGCAAATCATTTTTATGTGGAAGAAAACGATATATCATGAGTTGATTTGAATAACAATTTTCTCTGCAAGAGACACAGATGGAAATATCATATCGATTTTGCAGTTTCATTCAGAAAAATCAATGACTATAACAATGAAAAAGAAGAAACATTTAACCTGTAAAGGTTGCTGGAAGAGAATATTTGTAATTATCCGAGTATATTATTTCATTCTTTCTTAACAGAATCTCATTTGTAGATGAGAGTACAAAAATTTCAATAAAAACATCTGTCACAATAAACACAGACGATTATTTTTTCAATGTAAATTGATATCAATTTTCCTTTTCAGATTCAAAATGTTGTAGAAGTTTCATTTGAAAACTATATAATTTTATTTATAATTTAACTCTATAGTTAACAATAACAAGAAATATTTTAAGAAAATTGTTATTGCTTTGAAAAATGCTGTTCTATAGTATATAAATCATGTCTTCGATTTTGAAATTCAAATTTGCTCGTCAATAATACTATTCAAAATCTTTAAAATATCGTAGATGCATAGAGAAAACCACAATTCTATCGTTTTATACGAAATCCTATGCGTTCAATATCGAATTTCAAAAACACCTTAGTTCGCACAAATTATTGAATGTTGGAAAAAAGGAAAGATTTCTCCAGTAGAACAATTAAGTGTTAAATAATAAGTTTTGTTTCGTGTTAATCAAAAGATCTACCAGAAAAAGATCAACAATTTTAAACAAGAACATTTCTCTAAAGAATAAATTTATTAGAAAATATTCAAAAATGATCTTGACAGAAATATTGTCCATTTGAATTAAAATAGTGCATGTGATCAACATCATTAACAATAATATAATATTGTCAAATTTTTGCTATCAGTTTTATTACTTTATCTTATATAAAAAACAAAACCACACATTGTTGAGAATGATCGAAATGAGAAAAAAAAGTTACTTTAAGACAATCACCGCATCACCGTGATCGTATAGAGCAGATAAATTTGTTGCTTCTTCCTTTAATTGACGAGTTACTCGTGAAGGATCATACTTATAACCATATACAATCAATTCAGATCTTAAACGATCACATTCAGACAAAATTGCTGATGATTTTGGACGAGAATGATTATGAGCTTTAAATATCTATATGAAATAACATATTTTTTTCATTTATTTATTTTATAAAGAATTTTTTTGTATCATTAATTGTCCATTTACTTCTGTCCATGATAATCCTAGTTTGACATTCGTTCCTAATTCTTTTATTTGATTACATCGAAAAGTTTTTGCTAGTTCATGTTCTCCTATCGACGAATATATATTTGAAAGAAGAATTGCTCCTAACAGAAGATCTTGTTTTTCATTAGGGAATAAAAATTTCATTCGATTATATATCTTCTCCAATAAATTACAATTTCGATTATTACATCCACCGGATAATAACAATGCTAAAATAAAAGTAAATAAATAAATAAATAAACAAAACATCAATACTACACGATAAAAAAAAAACTAACTATACATAATTAAACATGGTTTGTTTGTTCTTTCATAATCATCAATTAAATTTTGTGCTTCATCAAATAGAAATAAACGACTTAAACAATCAATGTTAAATATAATATGAAATGTTAATTAGTTTTAGATAATAAATAAATTATTAACAAGAACAAACCATAGTAGTAAAAATTTTCTCTGTTTTTAAAGGAATATCATTAAAAATATTCCAAGCTTTTTGAAGAAGACCCGAATGAAAACATGCATTTAAAACACAAATATGTGAAATTTCATTAAGTAGATTATTCGACATTTTTCTATATAATTGAATAGCTTCAGAATCCATTCCATTGAGACCAAATGCATTAACTTCAAAAGAAAATTTTCCAATATTTAAAACAAAGACAACATGCATAAAGGTAAATATAATTACTCATTGCAGTATATGTTATTGCATCACGATCAACAACTGATTCAAATACATTTTGTGCTTTTCTATTGAACCACATTTACCCTTTTAAAGGAAAAAACCGTTTTAATCAAAGCTCTTTTGGGTCTAAACTATACTGCAATTCATATATTTTCTTTGGCTTTATTATCCTAAACACTTATAATCATCGACCTAACTGATAAATAATTTTGTTCTATTATTTTACTTTGGTTGCCAAAGTCTCTAATATAGAGTCTCTGTAATATGAGCAAGCCTTGCCATGTTATCTAACTAGAAGAGACAGATGCATAGCGAGTCTTCGACTTGAAACTTACGTTAACTACTTTTCCTTAAAAATCATACGTGAGTGACATAAAACAAATAATATTAATCAAAATAATAAAAAACTCAGCAAAAACCAACAATCGATACTTACTCACACATGAATTAACGAATTTTGTATTTGTCTTTTATTCTGAATTTCAGCAGAAATCCGATCAATAATATATTGACGACGACGAAGCAAACAAATTTGTGAACATGTACCGATAACTATACTCCATATGATCTCATCGGGAGAAATATTTTCTTCAAACATTTCTTCTAAGATTTCAAAACATTTATTTAATAAACCATTTATATTATAACCATTCATTAAAGCACCGTAAGTACCAGTATCTTTCTTTTTTATTGATCGAAAAACATTTTCAGCGTTTTGAATAGGGTGTGGGTGTAGGAGAATACAGAAAATATTGGTACCTACACCCACACCCGCACTCTGTCTGGAGAGAAAGTCAAATAGTTTAACAATAGAATAGCCGATCGGTTATTAGAAGATGCAGATTCGATTCCTGTTCTGGTGTTATGAACATCTATGTCATTACATTTATCTAAAATCATACATATTTCTGTAGATTAGTGGCATGATTGTTTCTTTTTGAATCTTCGATTAATACTATTATATTCACGTTCACATCTCAGTAAGAAATTAGCAATGGCATGAGGGACTACTCCAGCTTGAGTCCGAAGAATACAAAATGAAGGAAAGAACGTTTTTGTTGTTCGACATCAGTTCAAACAAATAGTCGATATTCATCGAATTAGTTTCATTATGCATTTCTACCTTATTATGCCTCTCTCAAACTGCATGAAATGTACCGTAATAGAACACTTTCTTTTTTTTTATTAAACAAACAGTTGAAAATTATTTTTCGATGATGAAACCGTTTGAAGTTTCGTTTTTTGCTCATTGAGCATTTTGCAGCTAATTATAGACAGTGTCTTTAAAGATTGATTGTTTTCAATCATTTTCACCAGGAAATCAATACTTGAGTCACCAACAGGCAAATCAAAACTGATATAGAGCTTCTGAAGAGTTGTATTATGATGAGTCAGAGCATTGGCTAAAACATCGACACCTCGATTGTTGATTGCATTTTTTTTTAGACAAAGTTGAATCAATGTGCGATTAGTTTTGAGCATTTCAGCTAGATGTTCAGCACCCATCGCTGTAATATCGTTTGAATCAAGGTGAAGGATTTTAAGAGCCATATTTTTTGTTGAAAGTGCTTCTGCTAATAAACTTACACCCGTGTCAGACAGGCAATTCCCATCAAGATTTAATTCCTCAAGCACTGTTGTTTCGCGTTGCAGTGCATCAGCCAAAATTGCGGCACCTTGTAATGTAATTTGGTTTGACTTTAAGTTCAGAATTATGCATTGCTTGTTAAATATTGCGTTTTTGACTACAATTGCCATATCTTGATCAGTTAATTGTTGATACGATAAATCTATGATCGAGCGAAACTCGCATTTAACAATCAGATCTTCAAGATGATAATTATGGTAGCCAGTCAATTCTGAAACAAAAATTCAAATGCATTAAACTGCACAACATAGGAGTAGATCATCGATAAAAATTAATTTTCTCTGCAATTAATGAAATTCGTAGAATGAATTCTGTACAGACCTGAAGAAACAGTATTCTGTGGAATGTTTTTTAAAAAAGATCTATACAAACTGTGATAGCGAGAGAAAAATCGACGAAAGCCAAGGATATTTCAAATACTAATGGCACAAAGATAATGATCTTTGATATGAATCATATTTATATAGTTTCACAAGCGTGAGAAGCTTCACTGAAGAAAAAAGTTCTAAGATTATCTAAATATCACTATAATCTATTTGAAAGGCATATACTCTCAAGTTATTTCATGCTGTAAAACACTGTCATCATCTTTAGTTTTATCTTCAATTTCTGACGAAAAACATTAAATCGAAAAAAGTACTAGGAAAGTCCACAATTGCTTAATTTCCGTTTGCTTTCTTAGATTTTTCGAGCGAGTTTCATCTATAAGAAAATATAGAAGATAGTTTGACCATATTTTGCCGTAATCAGAATGTACATGCAGTTTGAGCTAAAATTTTTCAGAAATGGCAAGGCAAATGAATTTTTTATTAATCTTACAGTTTCAATTCTCGTACTTGAACTTTGACTTCTTTACCGTGTAAGGATTCTATAAAATGTCGAAAGCAAACAAAAATCATAAATTGAGGATGCTCCGTATGCTATTGAATGAAGAAATTCCATGCTGAACAAAACTGAACATATGACTTCAGATTAGAATATAAAATTAATTAATTCACGAAAAATTCATAATACTATCCATATCGAGTACGTATAGTGATGTCAGACAGATAATATGAGTGATCAATGTAATGTATTTTACAGCGCACTGAAAGTATTTCTGTGGCAGTAATATTTTTCAATACCTACAGAATTATGAGTTTAAATTAGTACTGAAAAAACTCACCACGAAACTAGCACGGGGTATCCCAAAACAAGTTGTCAATACTCACATTCTCTTTATTCTATCTTCGTGTCTTCTTACATATAGTGCGCACAAGAGCGATAATCAGCAGGAATATAGAGCGTACAAATATCTGTACAATTGAAATAGTAGTTGTCATACTCAAAAGCTGTTTAAGATTTGGTTGCTTTGCAATCTAGATCTCTGAAAAACTTTTTGACATTGAAAAACTGGCAAGATAATGTGAACACTAGTTTGTCTAAAGATCAAGTATTGGTCAACTATCAAGCCTCGCTTCCACTGAGAAAATGATAAAAATAGATTTTTAGATTTTTACGTAGTATTGTACAGTTTCATTCGAAAGAGAACTCTATAATCACATTTTCATTGTTTTCAATTTCTATTCTTGACTGGAATATCGAGTTCTGAAGTGTTTCGAAAAGAATTTTAAAAATTCTATGATATTTTCCAAATTGAAAACTTCGAGATCGAAATTCAGAAAAGTCGAAAATACAAATGTAGAACAAGAGCATTTGTCTGTCATTAGACGACATTCCCAGCACGATATGTTAGAGTGGAATTTCGTCATATGACCGCTGTAGTTTATACGTATTGTCACAAAAAATTTTCAGCTTGATCGATTACTAAGAAGCAAAAATCGACTTCGATGTAAACGAAGGCTCTTTATGCTATCCACAAAAGGACATTCTTCACATTGGCGCATGTCTTCCGATTTTCTTTGCCAAAAATATTCAAATCAAAAAATAAACTACAAATCCGAAATCAGTGTGAGCACTATATCGAAAAACTGTTACAGACTGGTTGAAGGAAGAAGCCAATTATTGACCCCCTGCTCATGCAACAACTCTAAAAGAGCTATTGTTTCCTGAGAATAGGTTAGCTCATCCAACACAATTTTGCACTCGGATTCCGAAACTGTATTTTACTGTCTCATATGGTTTGACAGAGAAAATCAACAAATCTATCGATGTGAAAAATGTCCTTGAAACCAATTATCAATGAACAATAGTCGATCAATATTTGATTTGCAGACAAACTTTTGTAGACACTTTCTTACGAGTTTTTGAGTGTACTTTCTAATCCAATGTTATTGAACATTATTCTGAAAAAAAACTGTCAGATATTTGGCTTGACAATCAGCCAAACTATATCTAGTTTTTGAGCATGAAAAGTGATATTTCTATCTGAATAAGGACAAAATATGGAAAAACCATCTACCATTCTTGCACTGATGTGAGTTATGAGAGAAAGTTCTCAACGATAAAAAAAAATTTTAATTCTGTGTGTGCAAATTGTCAAGTCACAATTTACAAATTGGATTGTGCTGAAAAATCGAAGTTCTACAGAACAAATTCAATCTCTCGATCAAATTACACCATGAGCTCTTATCTTGGTAAAATTAGTATGGTTTGAGTGTTGTCTAGTTATGAGCAAAATGTGAGGTGAAAAGTTTTTTCTTACTTGAGGATCTACTCTTTTTAGACGACATACTTATTATTGTCGCCATATTTAATTGAATACAATGTCTAGCGGAAAACATAACTACTAGAACACATTATCAATTCACAACACAGCTATGAAGCCACTGTCGTACGAACAAAATAGTTCCCAGTAATTGGTATATGCGTCATTGTCGTCGTCTTTGTGTAATACACGGATAACCCCACGAGATTTTTACCGCAAAATGATGAAAAAGGTGATTTATCAGCAAGTTTAGTTCTTAGTTACGATAATACATCCGAAACTAATTGGTGCGATGATAAACGCGTGACAAATTACTGTAGGTTAGTAAAGCAGGGTGTGTGTGGTTAAGAAATATTCGAGTGTTACAAATGAAATGGCTTTTACAGTAAAATCGAAAGTAAACATTCCGTTTGAACGCTACGTGCTTATGGGAATATCGCGATGAAAATCCAATCTCTAGTTGATAAATTTCTATAGATCGTGATTATAACTCACATATTTTCATAAATCTTTCATGAAATCCAATAAAATTCTTCTAAGCCAAGAGTTTGTACCAACCTGTTACTGTATCCGTTAATTGTTTTATTTGAGTCTCGAGGTGATTAAATCGTTGATCGAGAAGTGCTATTTTTGGATTTTGGCCTTGATTCCTAATAGAAAAGACATCAATTTAATACTTTGATTGTTTCACTTACTCTGTCAATCGTTCAATATCATCTCGGAGTTTCCTGATATGTTCACTGTCTATGTTCGATTGTTCTCTCAATTCATTAACGTATGTAGT